GGGGGCTAACCTGCGTCATCCCAAGGGGGTGTGCGTCCAGCCGTGCGTCATTCTAACGCCCTGCCGGTGTCCATGCACAAGGCTACGGATTTGAACCCGCAACCTCGTACCACAATGCGCATTTCCAACCGAAGCTCGGCAACCTCGTACCACAACCGGAGCTCTGACCACTGAGCTACATCAACTGGATCCGAACATCTCACGGCGAAGTTGAAAATTTACTGGTCTCCAAAAAAAAAAAAAAAAAAAAAAAAAAAAAAAAAAAAAAAAAAAAAAAAAAACAACAGAAAAAAAAACCAAAAAAAAAAAAAAAAAAAAAAAAAAAAAAAAAAAAAAAAAAAAAAAAAAACTGGAGAGAAGACTAACCCCCCCCTACGGTCTAGGCCCAAATACAATGTACGGTCATCATCGCTGTAGCTAGACTCAAAAATGCCCCAAATACAGCTATAATGGACTTAGGACCTTGTGGCAACACTCACCAAATGCCAAAATTTTGAATGTATTGGGACACGTTTTCGTTCAGATACGTTCAAGCCCTAGTGAATGGTATCTGCACTGCATGACCTCTAGTGGTACGGCGGACACAAATAGCCTGCTACAGGTAGCCCTGTCAGAAAAGAAAAAGAGGCCCTGTCAGAGTGCATCCACCTGGGCATCTTCCCGTCCTGGTGCATTGTTCCAGGGCAACTTTTGTCCTCTTTTTTTTATAGCTTTTGTCCTTTTGCAAACCTGCAGGCTGCTGATGTAGTCCATGACCCTGTCCTTTTTTCTTTTTTTTTTTGTTAATTTAGTCCATGACCCTGTCCAAGACAGTGGATGTGTCAGATTCCTGATCTGCACGAGGACCTAAAGAGGGTCTGGTTCATTCGGACAGACACAATAGCTGAATCTTGGAGGGGTTCCCTTTTACTACCCAATGTTGGCTGTGAGATAGCCATCCGATGGATTGACCAATAGTTCAGCTAGTTCAGCTGAATAGGGGCTCTCTCCGTTACACACATTCTACAGGTATCTGGATTGAAAATGGACCATATGCATTTGGACTGATCCATATTTTTCATGTACTTGGCCAGCATCTCTTCTACGTCCATTTAGATTCTTGCGCCGAGGAGTGAGACACGGAAACGGCTTCCTGCCGTTTTGTTGGCATGGCCACGTAGGCATTTTCTTTTTCCAGCTATGCAATTTTATATTCTGTTTTTTTTCTTTGGTTTTTTCCTTTTTCAGCTCTTTTCTTTCTTTTTTGCTTTTTACTTTTTTTTTTTTTTTTTTTTTTTTTCCAATTACCTGGGGTCTGGTCCCACCTACGGCCGTTGAGTTGAGAAACCTCAACGGTGTGACACCATTTACCGCATTTTTTAAATCCGAAAAATGCATTTCAGATTTATTCGTAGCAGTTTTTATTCATTTTAAGAAAATGATGCGAAAATTGTGGTCTCTGTCGAGGATTCTGCGTATCTTGAAGTACCATATGGGCCTCGCTGCACTACTCTCGAAATGTGCAAAACGAGAGNGTGAATCTTCCCCTAGAATATGGAAAGATGCACTGCCATGATTTTTGTCTTTTGTGCATGTCGAGAGTAGTGCAGCGAGGCCCCATGATGTGGAAACACGAGGACGTCGAAGTGGGTCCAAAGAGCAATGAATATAGCCAAGAACACGGAAACATACATCGACTTTCTTTTTTCTTTTGTTTGTGCATGTGGTGAGCAACGGAGCGAGGCCTTATAGAGCCCACGCACGACAGTTACGGCTTTCATTGCACTGACACAGTTTACGAGAAACGGGGAACAGCAGACGGCGACTAAAAATCCCAAAAATCGCAAGATTTCTCATCGACCATGTTGAGAAACCTACCCTCGACCGTGGAGGGTAGCTTTCTCAACTCCGTGGCGCTTGCCCATGCCGCCTTCCCTCCATTGCGGGAGTCCATTCGAAGTCCTACAAAAAAACAAAACATTCAAATCACCCCGTAGGACATCAACATTTCGAAATATTTCCAACCGTGGGATCGCAGCCCTGTCGACGGCCACATCCTGCTCGTCGTAGAAAACTCCGCGTTGAGTTTTCTCAACAACACAGGTGGGACCAGATCCCTGTCAAATCTGGACAGGACGGCCTTTCTGGCCTTTTTTATTGTCATTATAGTATTACGGGGAACCCCGTAGCAGCCACATCCGTGCTCAAGCCTCCAACGAGGGAAGATGCCGGAGCTGCACCCGCCAGCAGGTGCGATACCTGCTACAGCAGGTGGGCTATACTGGCTAGGGGTCAGCCGGTAGCATCAGGACCGAGCTTCTTCGATGGGCCAGTCACTGTGCCTCCCCTCCGGTCCCCTCCCCCTATGAACATCAGCAGGACCAACGGCATATATCTAGGTGGCGAGCGCCAAGCTTGCCCAGGAAGGTACATGAGGCCAATGGGGATTGAACCCAAGACGTCCTGAATGCCACTTGCGTGCCTTACCAATTGAGCTAGGCCTCTGGATACTTTTCTTTCCATTGTCGCAGAACGGATTTCTATCACGCAAAAAAAAAAAAAAAAAAAAAAACTATCACTCCGCACCACTCATCAAACGTGCACGATAAGAATGAATATTCCTGTGAAATAGAGGAATATACATGGCCATAATTTTTGTCGTTTTTTGCGCATTTGGTGAGTGGTGCAGCGCGGCCCTATATAGCTATCGCAATCCAAGACGGGAAAGTAATTGCGTGGTCTTATTTTGGCCAGCAAGCCGTATATATCCCTTGGCCCCATTTGGTGGTCCTCCAAGGGCCTCCATCAAGCACAGAATATGCTAGACGAACCTAGATTCGCTGGTTGTCCCGTTACATTCAGAATTGTCAGGTAAGTCCGAACGAATCTGGACTGGATGGAAGAGGCCATGACGCACGGCACTGTCGTGGCCTCAGAAGAAGAAAACATGAACCTGTGCAAGGACGATGCAGCTGCCACAAGTCTTCTCCTTTTTTTTTTGTTTTCTTTTTTCTTAGGGAAAAACAGAGGATTTCATTGCCAAGCTAGAATACAAAGCTTCATGATAATCGGTCGAGGATCCAGGTGCCTAGCTCAGTTAGTTAGGCACGCAAGTGGCATTCGGGAGGTCTCGAGTTCAATACCCATTGGTCTCATTTACCTTCGCGGGCAAGCTTGGCACCCGCCACCTAGAGATATGTCATTGGTCCCCCCAAGTGGCATTGAGCAGAGACTGCTGATGCTCATAGGGGGAGGAGACCTGAGGGGAGGCGTAGGGCCTCGCCGCACGGCACAACTAACGAAACGAAACGATCACCAGAGTCGTGAGGCCTCGTGAAGCCCTGATCCACCGTTTCTCTTCGTTTTTTGCCTCACTGCCCCACAGCACACACGAAAACTCTCGCGACAACGCCCTGGCGAGAGTAGTGCGGGATTCACTTCGCTACGGTCCAAATTTGTGGACGCTACGGTCCAAGTTTTTGGATGGACCTCGGTTGGAGCGATGCAGCACACTCGTGAGATTTCGCAGCTTCTCCACCCTACCAGCGGAGGACCTACGAGTTCGCGAGTGCTGCAGGCAGGGAGGAGTCGGCACGCTCGTGAGGGCTCGCGAACTTGGAGACTGACAGCATTCACGAGTTTTTCCTGACAGAGGTCGTGTGGGTGCTATGCGGCGACTGCTTCACGAAACGAAGTCGTTTTTTTTTTCGTTTCGTGCACCGTGCGGCGAGGCCCATAGTGACTAGCCCATAGAAGCAACTCTGTTTGCTGTAGCAGGTGTCACACCTGGTGGTGGGTGCAGCTCCCGGATGTTCCCTCATTCCCTCCTTGGAGGCTTGAGCACAGATGTGCCTGCTACGGGGTTCCCCGTAATACTATACAGGTAATTGAATTGGTTGAGCCTGTTTTTCCCGCCAGTACCTCCGAGCCTGTTTTTGCCGACCCTGAATTTCACTGCGCTCCGAGTTTGCCGAGCCTGGGGGTCCAACTCCATTTCTTTATGGTACTCTCACGGGGAGGGAAAAACAAATGAAAAAATAAAAGAAAAGTTGCGGTCCTGAAACTCACAAAAAAAGAAAAGGAAACACTTCTCTGGCAATGATTGCAGTTGTATACATTCTTGGAAGTGGTAGTGTGAGTGTGCCCTCAGTGAGGGCATCTCAGCCCCGTGGCCAGGTTGGCCAGGTTGTCAGATTCGAAAAACACACAAAAAAAAAAAACCAGAAACATGTATTCGGCCGTGAAAATGGCTGGATACGTTCCTCTAAGTGCCAGTGTGATGAGGGTTCCAATCCTCTGAGGGAACACAGCACCAGCAGATCAGGAGTTCAGATTGTCAGATTCCAGAAACAGAAAAAAAAAAAAAAAAAAAAAAGAAACGGAAACACGGATTCGGCTGTGAAAATGGCTGGATACATCCGGGTTACAATCCTCTGAGGAAACACAGCCAGAGCAGATCACGGATTCCGCCCTGCCTCGTTGGCAGGGGACTAAAAAAAAAAAACGAGAAAAAAAAAAAAAAAAAAAAAAAAAAAACAAGTTTTAGAATGTGACCGTCTTTGCTGTAGGATGCATTCTGTAGAGGAAGGGCGTCGTTCGACACACCTCGGGGACGCGATTTCAAGGATTTCGTCTTTGTTCCACCTGTCCTCGGACCCCATTTTCGAAACCGAAATGTGAAAACACTCCGAGGACAAATCCTCGGGCTCCGAGGATTTTCCAGCCAGATCGTCCTCGGCTCCAAGGGACCTCGCGAGGTCCCTCGGAGTCCGAGGATCCGCGATAATCGGGGTGTCGTCGGCGAGTCGAAAAGGGAATTTGGTGGTCGGAGGTGGTCCAGTGCTGGTCCTCCGTGTTGCAGACGGACATCGCGAGGCGCCAACGTCCACGAACGGCCTCGTCTTTTTACCGTTGTCGGGGATTGGCGGTACCGCCGGTACGTCCCTGTCGGTTCGTCGGGCAGCCCCACGGCGGTGCCGTGCCGGGCATCGAACGATTTCGGGCGGGTCGTGGAGGTGTCGTAGCGTTACCTCGGGCTGCCCAACGGTCGGAAACACGAATTTCTTTAACCGTCCACCCCCGGCCGGTGGCTGCAGCAATTTCGTACGTTGTCGTCTTCCCTCCTGCAACGTGTGTCTCCGGGCGCCGCGATCGCGACAGCCAAGTGCGTCCCCTCTCCTTCATGGCTGACCTGTGCCGCAGGCTGCCTTTGTTGCTGCTTGCCGCTGTACTGCTGCTTGCCGTTGTCGTCTTTCATATCTGCATCCTCGGTCGCGTCCCAGGGAGGAAACATAGGCGCCGAACGACGAAGGCGACCGGGAAGATGGAGAAGGTGCAGACGAAGAGGACGATGTCCGTAGGGGCTGGTGGGTCGTCACGTCAGCGTTGCAGCTCTGCGGAAGGCGGCAAGCGCCCGTACGACCCGACGCTGTACAGCCACCTGCCGTCCCACGAGATTCCATTGCCTCCGAGTGACGACGACAGCGACGAGCCTCGATCATCAACGGTTCCTCTGGGCAGCGGTTCGACGCAGGATTGGATGGGGAGCCAGCTGTACAGACAGCCCTCGACGCCGACGTACACTGATCTGCTGGAGGGCGGACCCCGGTTGGTTATGACCGAGGGCTCGTAGATCTCAGCTTCGGTTTGAGGTCTGGGAGTGGCCAGGACGTCACGCACACCGTTCTCGTGAACCCGGGTTCTGCCAGCAACCACACAGCGCCTTCGGTGGGGCCGTGTGGCCTTCCTGACACCCGCGGCCGGGGTTGTGGTCAGTCGGGCGACGAACGTGGACTCGTTTCGCGAGGGCGGACAGCAGTGGACACAGCAGGTGTTCGTGCGGAGGGGACGAGGACAGGTGGATCGACAACGGCAGGCGGCGCAGTCGACCGAGGAGGGGATGACGCTGACGGCTACGTTGCAGAGGTCGCGGGGCGAGAGGTTTGGGATGATTACCGGCGACAATCGCGACAATCTAGCACGTCCGCCATAACGAGAGGGGTGGCGAAGATCAATGTACGGGCGGACGACACACCCGACGATTGCGACGGTGCGGGTGGTGAAGATTTGTCGGCAGGCGACGGGGGCAACGACAACGACGAGGACGACGACGGAGAGATGGAGATTCGTCCGCTGGGGAAGAAACGGGGAGGGCCGAGGGTGACGAGCAAGTCCAGCGAGCCGCGCGCGGGGCGGAGAGGCAAGAAGACTGTGGGAGATGCATCGGCAGGCGACGAAGCGAAAAGCAAGGATTTTTGGACCGTGGAACACGTGATTGCTCTTGTCAGAGCTAAAAGAGACCAGGATTTGCATCTTGCTGGCCTCGGCCACAACATGGGAAGGATGAAAACGAAGACATGGAAGTGGGCCGACATCGAGAGCAGGCTCGTGCAGATGGGGGTGACGACTAGAAAGGCTGATGACTGCGGGAAAAAATGGGACAACTTGTACATGCAGTTCAAAATTGTGCACAAGTTCATGGGAGAATCGGGGAAGCCTGATTTCTTCTCACTGGCGCCGCGGAAGAGAAAGGAGCGGGGGTTCGATTTTCGGATGGACGAGCGTGTGTATTCGGAGATGATATCCATGTCCAAGGGCGATCACACTAAACACCCCACGAATCTGGCGGACACGGGTGCGGCGGGAGGTGTTCAATTGCCAGGCCGGAGTGGAGGTCGGAACGAATCAGGCGGTAGTGACGGATGCGGGGATGGGCAGGACGACGATCAAGGATCGACGCGAAATTCAAGTTTCAGCGGCGGTGTTGTGGGCGGGTGCGGCAAAAGRAAGAATGTGAGACAACAGACCTTCGACACGATGGCGGACGTCATGAAGGACCACAGGAGTCTGATGGCGACGACAGTGGACAGCGCGAGCAAGAGGCAGTGCTCAATTCTGACTAGGCAATGCGACATTCTCGAGCGAGAGCTAGAAGTGCAGAAGGAGCACTACGTGAAGACGGACCAGGCGAACCTGTTGATGTGCGACGCCCTTATGGAGATTGCTAAAGCGATCCGTGAACGATCATGAAGTCAATGGGCCGCACATGTCCAACGTCCACGCGAATGCCTCGTGTGTGCTTCTGGATCGTCGGCGTTGCCCCCGTACTGCGTGCTGCTGTGCGGTTTCTGCATGTGGTTTCTGCATGTGGTGGTGGGCAGGTTGTTTACAGAGGACGGCTTGTTTCTGCATGCGGTTTCCATTGCACGAGTCGACTTTTTTTATTAGTTTGAAGGGTGTTGATTGCTGTCATGCCCGTCGGCACGTCAGTCGGTTTCAAACTACGACGCCCGATTATTGTTCAGTGCYTGTTGACGTGACGCGTTGCAGCCAAGCGCGGATTGGGATCCAGCAGCGTTTTCTTCTTTGGGGGGGGGGGGGGGCGGGAGATGGTTTGCTGTCGGATAAAGGAATGGGCGGCAGGGTGTTTTTTTTTTTTTTTTTTTGGGTGGGAGGGGACAACGGAGGACAGGGGCGCCTCAACCATGGACCTCCTGTGTGATTTTCTGGGGGTGGCGGGCGACGGAAGCGTGCCGAGGTCTTTGGACCTCCACCATGGTCCTCCTGCGCGCCCACACGAGTTGTTGGCCATACGACGGATGACCACAAGCCTTCGTGAAAAAAACGGTCCGTGTACGATCGGCCAGGGGGCGGGCTGTTGTGGACGGCGTGGCGTGTACACGGTGTGCGGCGTTGGCACACCGCGTTGAAAAGGAGATTGCGGGCCGCAGTCCGTACGGCAGTACTCCATTGTCCACGTCTCCGACGGTGTCGTCTGATCACTGATTCCTCACCGCAAGTCAGCACTTCCCGCCCTTTGCGCCTCCACTCTCAAGTGCACCGCGTGCAGTCCCCCCTCACGCGCCGCAAGCACGTGCTCTTTTTTCTGTGGCCATCATCGTCGCGGCTCCTGCCCACCACGACTGCGCATCGTCCACGTGCTCCTTCGTCGACGTGGCCGTCGTCGATCTCCAAGCGTCGTACTTCCACGTGCTCCTTTGTCGACGCGCTCCTTCGTCCACGTGTTCGTCATTGCGGAGTTGCGAACGACATGGCCCCGAGGCAAAATAGCGGGGCGGGCGACGAGGGGGAAACCAAGAGAGGCAGAGGGCACATCCCTAAGCCGAAAAGGCATCGTGTTGAAGAGTCGAGCTCCGAGCACACTGCAGACTTCTTGCCAGAAGAAGTGGTGATGGTGGACGCGCAAGGTACTTCAGCGGCGCCGCGATTGGGTTTCGGGCGAGATGGGTTGACGAGGGAACAAGTGTCCGCTGTGAAGCAGAGCATTGCTGCTGGTGCTGCCGGGGCGTCACAAAGGACCCCGAAGGCGGCAGGGGTTGTCATAACGGAGGTGCACGTCCCGAGGCAACTTCCCGCGGCGAGGGGGCTGGGCCAACCACGTCAGCCACTTCCACTGCAACAGCTGGGGGCTTCAAAGGGGGGGAAAGCACAGCCCGCGCAAAAGGGCGATGCAACGGCGATCGACACTCGGAGGGCGGCGGCGGATCGCTGTGGTAGAACCGCAGTCGCCGAAGGTGCGGGCGAGGAGAGGGTAGACGACGTCCGCCACGACGAGGGAAGAAGAGACGGAAAGCGGGAGGGCGACGACGACGACGACCGTCCACTTGTGACGAGGTTGAAGGGAGCCGCAAAGGAGGATGGTCTGGAGGAAAGATCGAAGTTGTGGGTTGATTGCGACTCTTTCGAGGGTCAGGGACCGGGGAAACCCTTGAGGGAGGCGGTTGGCGAGTGCGCGGACTACTTCGTCACAATCGCCAATGGAGACGTGGGAGCTGAACCGCCTGCGATGCTCATACTGCCGCCGAACGACGTGCCGCGCTTCAAGATCGACGACCCTGCGCAGCGTGAACCAGCTCTGCGCAAAGCGCGCAACGTCGAGAAACTGGTGTTGCGCGCCATCCACCGCTGAATCTTCAAATCATCGTCGCGGTCGGCTGGATTCGCTCGTGCAGAGTTGTACATGAGTGTCGACATTGCCACAGACGTCGCACGAGCAGTTTGGTAGGGGCAGGAATGGTCGAACGTGGTGTCCCCTGCACTCGTGTACCACACTCTGGCGCTGAAGATGGACGTGCCTCTGTGGTTCGCGGGGGTGAAGATTGTGGATCGGCCAGAGGACGACGACATGGCGGCGCGGCAGGAGTCGACAGTGCATCGTGGAGTGCTGGACAGACGCACTATGGTGTGGACAATGGGCGGACGGCGGGCGCGTAAAACAGGAGAGGTTGACTAGGCTTGCGGACTGTCTTCGAGCGTTGTTGAGCGCGTGCATGTGGATCATGCGCATGGGTGGTGACGACGACCGTTCGCACTACGAGGTGTGCCTTTACTCGTCCCTGGTCGCCAAACCGACAATGATAGCGGCGGGGTCGTACATCTTCAACTGGCGGCGACACATCGTCGACAACGCGAACCTCGTCTTGGATCGTATAGGGAAGGCTCACCTCACACTGGGAGAATACCCGCACTGCATTCCGAAATGGTGTGACTGCGGGTTGGTGTTCGGCCACAACGCGGCCCTGAAGAACGTGGCGGAAGCCGCAAAACACGGATGGATTGGCAGCGGGCCTGCGGCAGAGGAAGTGGGAGACGAGGACGGTTGACACGTGGGTGCGTCCGTGGCGCAGCGTGAAGGTGCAGTCGTGGCGACTCGAACGACGTCTGGTATCGAGTGTCGTCATGTATAGGTCAGGTTGCAGCCGTAGTTGTGCATGTGTAGTGAACGATGCTTTCGTTTATTTTGTGTCATTATTAGGTGATTGGAGTGCGCTTGGTACGCTTGCTCCGCCGCAGGGTTAATTGGGTCAGCGAACTGCTCCGCCAAAATGTGCGTAGACGGCAGGACCAGTCGCTGTGTAGTGCGGAACGCTAGAAATGTCGATAGTCAGACAGAAGGGGGAATCGTCGCCGATGCGATTGATTGTATGTAATATGAACTCAGTGAAATGTGTGTTGCTTTTTCCATGTCTTGTGTTTGCATGCAAAAGATTGCGCATGGAGTCATGTCATCGTTGTCTTCTGTGTGGTTTTATCACATGACGCACGCGTGAATGGCCATCGCATCGTCGTTCGCATCTTCTTGTGTATGAGCCCGTGTGTTTTCCATTTCACCTATCGCAGCATCGTTGTCATCGTCGTGAACTTAACAAAGAAAAGAAATAAAAGGATTGTGTCTGCGTTGCACGGTTGCATGATGAGCACATGAGTCGCGATATCATCTTTCTTTTCGTTGTCGATGCATGTCAGTCGTGATTCACAAACGCGATGCACGTCATTCGTCAATGCAAAAAACAAAGTAGAAGAGCTTTTTGGAAAAAATTGGAGACAAGCAGAGACGACATGCACAACACACGTTCCATGCACCGCAAAAAAAAAAAAAAAATTAAAAAAATAAATAAATAAATAAATAAATAAAATAAAATAAAATAAAATAAAAAACAATATAAGAAAAAGAACATCCCTCGAAAAAATAGCAGCAGCTGGGTACGCCGAAAAATCCATCGCCAAACATCATTAAAAAAATGCACCGTTCTAAAGTTCTAAAAAAAAAAGGCGCGTGAAGCGCATGCAAAACAGTGGGCTCACGAATCTCTTCCTGCAAGCCCTCGACTATGACTCCCGTCTACGACAAACCCACCCCCCGCCCACCACATCACGCACCCCCCCTCGAACCCCCATCAAACAAGGACCGAATCCATCGACGACTCCACGTCATTGCGCGGGAAAACAAACTTCATGGCCACTAGGACAATGAAGAGCCGAAATACGAAAAGATGAACACAGAGGACGAGTACTACATCAGCGATCCCGTCGCACTTCCGCTGCGTGACAGACTGCACCTTTACAGCGTCGTCGAATACAAGAACAAACACCTTAAAAGAATCTGACCGCGACGGCACGACTTCAACGGGACGAACAGGTAGGGGGCCGGGTGGATCAAACATGTTTCATCCGCTGCGCCAGTGCATTGCGGAGCGCATGAGCCTCACGCGTCGAAGTCAACATTGACACTGGCTGCGGGGGGCGATGAATCCCCAGGTCCACTCACCGCCTCACCCCGTTCGCGTCTACCTCCCACAATAAATTCTCGTCGAACTCGATTCCTGCATCGAGCAGGATGTTGTGGAAAATGCATACCGTCGTGAACTGTTGCGGCAGACTCTCGAGGTTCATCTTGTGCGTCCGCAGGAAGAGCCTCCACATCCCTTTCAACCTCCCGAACACCCTCTCCACGGCCCCTCTTGCGACCTTCTGTTTCGTGTCGAACCTTTCCTCGTCCGGGTGCTGATTGATTCCTCCGTACGGCACCACCACCCACTCAGAAGGAGGATACCCGTTGTCGCCCAAGATGTATCCGTTCGTCGTCACCCCTCCCGGCAGCTTCACAGGCGGCCCACGAAACAGCAATCCCTCTTTGGCGCGCCTCGACATACTTCACAGTTGGATCACCCTAATGTCGTGGCAGCTACCCAGATATCCCACGAACACATTAAGGACGCGCAGATCCAGGTCAACCACAACCTGCGCAATGACGAAAAAACGGTGCTTGCGGTCGAAGTAGTTCTCGCTAGGCGCGTTCGCCGGTTTGTCCACGTAGATGTGTGTGAAGTCAACTGCGCCATGGCAATTTGGAAAGCCCTTGTCCAGAAAAGCCCGTAGGACGACTTGTTTTCGCACCCCCGTCGGCCACAATATCTTCTCCCCGTACACCCTCAAAATGGCGGCTGTCACATCGCGCACAACTCGAACTCCGGAAGTCCTGCCCATGCCGAAGGATGATGTGCTGTTATCGTAAGACTCTCCTGTGGCCCACCTATACAGCTCGTATGCGACGATCTGCTCCAGCTGCAGTGGCTCCCTGTAAAACGTCACCCGCCGCTGCACATGCTTCGCTGATCTCCATGAACACTCTCCTCGACATGTGGAGCTTTTCCCGGAAGTAGTCCTCTGTCGCGTCATCGCAAACCCGTAAATCCTCCCAAGTCCCGCCAGCTCTCCGCCGCATCCACCAACGTGGCGTCGCCCGAGGAAGCAAACCGCTCCTGATAGCAGCACACAGCTGAACCACGGCTGGGGATGTGGTGATGCAGTCTGGGGCGTCCAACACCCTTTGCAGCAGTAGCCTCTGCCGCCGCCTCGAAAGCGCTGCCTTCATCCGCCCGGCCGCACTCTCGATTTGAAAACGACGGACAACGGCAACCGCAGCCGCCGCGACTGTTGTCTTCTCCGTCGTCGACAGCACAGCAGGTCCATCCCCATCGCAGCCGTCCATCACGTCCCTCGTAGACAAAAAACGACGTCCACCGCCGCCCACCTCCGTGCACGTATGCCGCCACGTGTTGAAGACGCCTGCAACCACGTCAGGAAGACAACCCGGCCCAACGACGCGATTCCGATTGGAGCGTCCACCCACCACCACTGGCGTCCACCCACCGCCGCGGCGCTTGCACATGGCGAACGAGACTGACGTCTTCGTTTCGTCGCGTCGACCATACTAGACTCACTGGCGGTGCGTCGCCGCTGAAATACGCAACCCGATGGCAAACGAAACCCCGCGCGACGTAGGCAGGCACGCACACCGACCCGCCTGTGCGCAGCCACCACGTCGCTCCCCAACATCAAAATTCAAAATTTGAATTTCGAAAGGGGATTTTCCCGCGTTGGCGTTTTATTTTCCAAGGGCCCGTGACGTCTTCCCGCCGTCCGCGTTTTGGACCACCACGACTGCTACACGGATATCCCGAATCGGAGGCCGGACATTCCTCTCGCGGCTGTGTATAATCTAATCAAACTGGCCGAGGGAGGGCCCCGAGGATTCGTCCTCGGGGCATTTCTCCAAGGTGGAACGACACCTCCGAAAATCAAAAATTGCTCCGAGGATTCGTCCTCGGAGCCCGAGGACGCGCTGAGGTGTGTTGAACGACGCCCGAAGACTGTGAGCACGGCCTCCTAGACTACCCTGCCTGACATCATTGCAGTACATAAGCTTTTTTTTTTTTTTTCCTTTTTCTTTCATGCGGGGGCAAAAGAAAACTAAGATTTATGGGACCCGCCAACCCTGGGTCCCACCACCGATTTCTTCGAGGACAGACGCGTACATTGTAATTTCCCAACACTGGCAGAGGTACTGGTGGAATTTGCTTTAGAAAAAAAGAAAAGAAAGATAGAGGGAAAAAAATAAAAAGAGAGAGAATTGGTTGAGAGCACACTCAGTCGGTGTATTCACATACATGTAGCAAAACAGCAAAATTTGCGGCGTTTGCCACTCCCAGTTAGCCATTTTGGTGTGTTGCAAAGTCACACAAGGGTAGCAAATTGGAAAAGGCAATGCCCCTGTTCCCTGTCATTTGCGAAATTGCCCACTTGTGTGGTCACACAGTAAAAGAAGTCAAGGGATGCCCACAGTTTTCTTCGGTGAGCTCACCGATTCGGAAAACAGATAATTTGCCAACACATCTAGAGGCCTCCCCACATGGCAGCCAAAACGAAATGAAAGGAGTTTTTTTTTTTTTTTTTTCCGCAAGGGTTGGCGAGGGCCCAAGTTCGTGTTTTCTTTGTTTTGTGTTGCATAGCCACACGAAGCACGCGAAACGAAAACCACTGATCCCCAAAGGAAAAAAAAAAAAGAAAACCAATGAGTACGAAAACGGGAAAAAAACAAAATATGAATAAGCGGAGTTTCTCTTGAAAAAAAAAAGAAAAAGAAAAAAAAAGAGTCTTGGAGTTCCCGACCGCCTTGGATGCACTAGCCACACTGCGAGATTTGGCAGGCGGTTTGTGGGTCCTTGCAAGGACCCACAAAAATTGAGGTGCTGTAGGTGGGCGGCAGCAACCTCCTGCAAAGTTTTCATCTCCTCTTCTCTTTGACAAACACCCGACACGTCGCAATTTTTTTTCACCATTGAAACTCGCGTGGCCGTGCGGCAGTGTGAAACGAAACGAACTCGTGAAATTGTTTGTTTCGTGAGGCCCTAGAGGTGGTGGCA